AGTGAGAAAATACCAACATATCTCTCCTACTCTGGCCATGCTGCACTGCCTGCCCATCCGTTTCCACATGACTTCAAAGTGTTAATGCTTGCATATAAGGCCCTAAATGGTTTAGGACCCCGATACTTGGCGAACACCTGCTCCCACCTAGATCTACTCGGATCACCCGCATGAGCCAGGAGGTGAGGCTGAGAAGCCTAACGCCGAGGGAGGCCCGGAAGGAAAGGACACGAAACCGGGCCTTCTCAGCGGTGGCTCCTCGCCTCTGGAATAACCTTCCTCTGGTTATTCATGCGGCCCCTATGCTGGGCACTTTTAAGAGTCAACTAAAAACATGGTTGTATGTTCAGGCCTTCCCTCCTGTCAATATTTAATTCTTTATTTTCTCTTTCATTTATTATTTGTTTTATTATTGTATGTTTTATGGACTGTTTGTAAAATTCTAATGTTTTCGTATACACCTTATTGGAAGCCGCCCAGAGTGGTCAACCAGACCAGATGGGCGGGATATAAATCAATCAATCAATCAATCAATCAATCAATCAAACAAACAAACAAACAAACAAACAAACAAACAAACAAACAAATAATAGAATTATGCAACTAGTTTTGAGCACTTGAGTTGGCTTGAGAGTCTGTTCCCTCAATCTGTACCCCTTCTCTGGACATAAAGACACACATCTAGCTCAGTATTGTCTTCTCTTTCCAAGGTCTTTGGTCCAGAAGGTTCCCATTTCCAGTTATTTGATCTCCTTTGAAAGTTAAAAATATCAGAGCACACAAAAAAATCTACTATTTTGCCTTTCCATAGAGCTACTGACCAGGGGTGGGGTGGGGCAGATTTATTTTCAAAAATTCAGTGTAAATGAATAAGAGCCCCAGATATTTATTAATCAAATTTTTATCCTTCTCTTCCTCCGGAGGTAGTTCCCTCCTCTGCCATCTGTGTTATCCTCACAACAGTCCTGGGAGGAATCTTAGGCTCAGGGAGAGTGAATAAATAGGCCAAGGCCATTGAATAAGTCTGATGGCTGAGTGAGGTTTCCATGAACCATCTAAGGTGTGAGAATCATTTAATATCTTACTGTTTTCTCAGATTTCTGGGATGGTTGAAAACAAGCAATAGGAAAGAATTTATTTACTTGCATGCTTAAACAGTGGCTACCCCAAAACAGCACTTCTCTGAGTGAGGCACAAAACCTATATGCCATTAAAATTGCAGTACCAAACAATTTTAACACTTTTTAAAAGGTAAGACAGGACTATAATACATATGACTAAAAGAGCTAGGACATCAGTTATTGAAAAGGCCAAGGGGAATAAACAAGTTTTTGGTGCTGAAAAGACCATTAAAGTGGTGCCAGATAAACCTCTTGGGTTCGATAACTAGAGTTCTGTTACTAAAGTGGCTGCCTTCCCTAATGGATGCACATTGGGACAGTTAGAGCAGAGCCTCTGAACAGGAATTGAATCAAGGCTAACTGGACTGCCAGAGTGTAAACCCAGCCTTCTGACTTAGGGAACAACTAAGAAGGAGAAGACCTTCTTGGTGGCTATTCCTGGAATATCTTGCCAGGAGGGGGAAGAAAGGCTGGTCCTTTTCTTTTTGTCCTTCTGCTCACTGACAGCTGCTTACCTGATAAGGACAAGAATTTTGAAGGATTGTGCTGTTTTCCATTCCTTTTTAATGTACATTATTAGATTATTGTTTTAATTGAGATGCTTAAAAATGGTTTACAGGAATTTTTTTAATACTGTAAACAGTTTCATACTTCTTCAATATTTATAAAATATTCTCTTTATTGATTGAACTTATACCTCGCCCATCTAGTGGCGAGCCACTACTATAAGCCGCTACGACAGAAATAAACACAGGGACACAACAGCAAAAATTAGAAACAAAGAACGTAAAGGAAACAAAAAGCCAGGCAAAAACTCCATTATCTAATGGACATCATATAACTCTCAAGGTGGTGGAAGCAGAAACAACTAATTAAACACCAAGCAGTAAACAATTTTGTGTGATCTTTTTAAAAACCTTTTCCCATAAGCCACGCCTGAGAGAAAGGCGTTTCCCTCTTAACTGTGTTTGGAACACCAGCTAGCATAACATCTGAATAGGTCTGCACTTGCTTGTTTCCAAACCAAGAGTATTGGGACACTGTGCAGAAATATTTACAATGTGATTATGCCTTTCTGGGACTCTCTGGACTACAGTCACTGTTGTGGAAGAGAAGTGTCAATATTGGGCAATAAAGTGTCTGAACCTGTACCTACACTGCTGTTTTTAAGAGAGGGAGAGGCCCTCCTGAGGTCATCTGTATTCTTTTATATATGGCACCATAGGAGCTGTCCAAGAACACCAAGGGAATCCCAAGCCCAGAACCTACCATAAGGGATATATTCTGAAAGAGGATGACAGTTGTGTTTTTTCTCTGTCTGTGTTCTTGAGTTCCCATTTGACAAGGCATGAGGATTTTAAGGATAAACCCATTTGGTTATTTCACACCTTGTGAAATGTGAAGACATGGATGTGTTGTGCCCATTAAGTAACTTAGTGGGATGATGAGTTGGTTATGTATTCCTTACACTAACAGCAGATTAATCAAGATCATGTGTTTCTCAGCTTGAGTTCTGTTCTGCCAGTGAGCAACAGCCGTCCCCCCTAAAAGACCCCCTCCAAGTGATTTTGGACAAACATTATTAAAAGATTGGACTTGGAAACCCAGGAAACATATCAGTTCTCTCAATATATGGCAACGTTTCCACATGAATTATATTTGTTTCTTGACTTACTCATCCATTTGTTTGTTTATTTGACATACCTGCAGTTTATAGTTTTTGCCTTATTCTCTTTGATCTTCCTCACAGTTGCTCAAACCCTGCAATTTAACATAATTCCACAAGCACTGCTTAGGCTTTTTGCTTAAATATATGTTGTTATATACCATTAGGTTGCTCCCAACATATGGTACCCCAAGGGTATATATGCATCAGTTTAATAGATGGAGCCACACACACAACATCCTTGCACACACTGGTGCCGCCGCCACCACACCCAGACCCTAACCCAGTGGAGGCAAACCTTTTTTGGCTCGAGTGCCCAAAATGAGGGGGTGGGGAAGAAACCAGTGGGTGCCGTGCCTTGCGGAAGAACAGAACCGGAACAGGAAGTGGCAGTTTCAGGGGGAATCATGGGGATGGACAGGAAGTTAAAGGGGAAATCATGGGGATGGACAGGAAGTTAAAGGGGGAATCATGGGGACGGACAGGAAGTTAAAGGGGGAATCATGGGGACAGACAGGAAGTTAAGGGGGGAATCATGAGGACGGACAGGAAGTTAAGGGGGGAATCATGGGGATGGACAGGAAGTTAAAGGACCCAGAACAGGAAGAGTAAAGGGGAATCCCAACTGCAGCCACTTCAAAAGGTTTGCTGCATGCCAGAAGAAAGGGCTTTGTGTGCCAACTGTGGCACAGGTGCCATAGGTTCGCCATCACTGCCCTAACCCTATCCATGATGAATAGCAAAATCTCGATAGGGCTTCTCCTTGAGTTCATATGAAAGTTGGCAGAAACTTTGTGTGATTAGGAATCTTGATACTGCAGAGTGTTTGACTGTTTGATGGCTTCTGGTCACATTCATGCAAATGTGAGTAGAGGCCCCATGTTGACATTGCTATTCATCATAGGAAGTTCGGAAGTATTCAGTGTAGGAGGCAGGTGGGGCCTGCCCTTAAATTCCCCTTTATCTGTGTTATTTAGATACAGTGCTTGAAGAGACTACAAGTACTAAGAATTCACAAACACAGCTTTAACTTCCACCCCCTGTGTCTTACAGAACACATGGCCCTATCCACTGAAAACCAGAATAGACTGGA